CCGTCTCCCACTAGGTGCATTTATAATGACCTGTTGTTAGTCTTTGGTCTATTTTTACATAATGCACAGCAAAGTCACGCAGTTGGTGGACACAGTCCTGTTTGATTCTTCGTGGCAAGGTACATACCTACTCCACGTTGGTGGATTACGAGTATTTTTTACTTCAATACATTTATGTTATTTTCAAATTCTTGAATATGTGAAGTTTTCAAATGTTGTAGGAAAAAGACCATGTATTGACAAGAAATTCCTTTTTCCTTTTTCCCGACACCAACTATTCGTGAATAGAAGTTGCAATGTGTTTATAGTTTCGCATATTCTTACCTACAAATTTAACGCGTTCTTCCTGGATGAAATGAGGACAATCTTCGCTTACGTTTTTCGTAGAAATTTCTATTAATTCTGGAATATGATCGATTCCGATTACACGACCACGTGAACCAACCATGAATGCCATACATGCAGTCAGGTAACCAGATCCAGAACCAACATCCAATGCTTTTGCCCCATCGAACAATTGTTCAGATAGAATAGACAAGGCATATGCATGCTAGAAAAAATTTTTTTTTAATTCTAAGAAGATATATTTATAAATATACTTCAAATGAACTAATTCTAAGAAAATTTAAATTATTTATTATTTGATATAAATTATATAAGCTAAACAATATTTTTTTTATAAAAAATAATTTATTAACCATGTGAGGGGCACTAATAGTAACATTGTAACCAATTTTTCTTGGTTGATCAAGATATGGATTTGATTCATGATAATAGTTTCCTCTATCTACAGCAAGCATCGCAGCTTCTGCTCTGTCTGTTGTTAGAATACCTGCTTCTATAATGTAATTTCATAATTAAGTTTTACATATTTCATAAAACTTAGAGGTCATTTTAATTTATATATATATAAAAAAGCTTTACCTTTTAATTTGGTTACCATTTCTTGGTTTGTAGTTCCACTGCAATGCCATGCCATGTTCCACACTATATATATATATATATATATATACATATATATATATATACATATGTATATATACATATGTATATACATATATATATATATACATATGTATATATATATATATATATACATATATTTGTATGAATACATAATATTGAATTTATAAAATTATAGAAAATGTATTTTTCAGAGAACAATAAAAAAAATATTGTAAAAAAATATATATAATAATTGATAATTGAAGAAAAGTTTTATAAAATAATGTGAATCACATAATATTATATTTAAATTTAATAAATATAATAACTAGCATATATAAATAAAATTAATATTAATAATAAATATTATATAAGACTTGCTCAAGTATTTATAAAACTTTTCCAATATATTTTTTCCAAATTATGATATTGTTCAAATGAAAAAAATGTTTACAATACTTCAATATATATATGAGTATATAAAAAAATTTTATATAGGTTAAATTTGAAAAGTTCAAAATATAGATATCAAAACATTTTTCTTAATATATATAATTTTTTTTTTTAAAATTATAATACGAAAATTAAACTATCAAAATATAAGAATATTTTATTAAAAATATCTTCTATATTAGAGAAAATTAATATAGTGTATATTCATCAATTTAATGTGACTATTTGCATTTTGAAGAAAAAAAAATCGTTATCTTGATTTGTTTATTAAAATTCGGTAATACTTATTTAGAAGTCGAACTATTATTTTCTTTTTTTTTTTTACAAAATGGTACATATTGAACATAATTAAAATACAATTTTGTTAGGTTAAGTACCTTTTTTACCGTTATCTAGTTGCGCCAGATACGTTCTGACGTATATAAGGGTATACATGTTACATCTCCATATATGCATACTTTATATAAATATTTATGTACGCGTTTTAATCTATAATTTTATATAATATTTTTAATATAAAAAAAAATATAAAATATTTGACAAAGACAAGATACAAAAAAATAAAATTATATTTATATATTATAAAAAAAATTACAACAATCTAAGTAATAATCAAAGGATTTCATTATGATACTTTGCCAAAATGTCATTTTGATTATTAGAATTTTACCTATTATTTAAAAATTGCAACATTTGCATACGCAATCGTGATATTATCATAGTAATGTCATGTGATGAATTTGAACATTTATAACTGCGTATCAAAAATTAATATCTATAATACATAGCATATAAATTAATTTAAAGCTATTCACTTTTATATATAAGTAACCTGATGCAAGATCATAAATTAAGTCCGAATTATAAGTCGGTAACATATCTGGTAATAAATTATAGTCAAATAAGCTTAATTATATTGAAATGATTTTAAAAAAACATAATTTTTATAATTTTGCAAATGAATATCTATAGATTGTGTTTATATCTAGTCTTGAACAATTAATAATTTTTATAAGAATTGCATGAATTTGCGGAAAGAATGAAAAGCAAAGTTTGCTTTGAAGAAGCAAAACAGAAGGTGTAGAAATGACATACAAATGTATGATTATTTGTTGAGTAAATATAAAATAAGGGAACTAATCGAAATAAATAGATAAGAGGACTATTCAGTTCTCGTTTGAATCCCATAATGAAATAACTATCCATCGGTATAAATTAAATGAAAGATTTAAGTTTTGGCAGCATAGAAGGCAGGATAGAAGCGTATGGACAAAAAAATTTTATTAGAAAGATCAAATAGGATCAGAAGGTTTCTTAACGGTTAAGATTTTTGCAAAGGCAAGCATTGACATTGTAATTATTATTACCAATTAAATGGCAGAAAAGAAGATAAAAGTATAAAAATTAAAATACAAAGACTAAAAAGACGTAAAAAAAATAAAAAATAAAAAATAAAAAAAAAGAGAAATGACCGAAGTAAATAAGGTTGATGACGAGCCGGGGAAATATCGGCAACTTCTCGTGACGTTGATCGGTGAGTTGAATATATCGAATACTCTCAAGTTGGAAGAACAAGAGGGTATAACAGATCTAAATTTGTCATAATAATTGTAATAATAAGAAAGTTTGATTTTTTTTTTAGCAAATATCGCGGCTCTATCGCTCGGAACTATGATAGGTTGGCAGTCACCTATAATACCGCAACTACAAAGTGGAAATCCTCCTGTAGGTGATAGGCCTATGACGGATGAGGAAGCATCCTGGGTAATTGGAATCACATGCATAACAGCCGCTTTCACGAGTTTGACAGTCGGTATTATAGCGAATAGATTCGGGCGTAAGCTGACTGGATGTTTGATGGGTTTGCCACTTTGCGCCTGTTGGCTATTTACTATTTTTGCAACAGAACACGTACATTTATATATCGCACGTTTCTTTTCGGGAATTTCTGGCGGAATGACATTATTCTTCGTGCCAATGTATGTGTCTGAAATTGCATCCGATGGAATACGTGGCATGTTAGGTAGTTTACTGATATTCATATTGAACGGAGGTATTCTTTTGGCATATATAATCGGTGCTATACTTTCGTATCGTTGGTTTGCAATTGCTATGCTTATATTTCCGTTATTTTATATCGCATTATTCGTTTTTGTACCGGAAACACCTGTATATCTAATACGACGGAATCGAATCGACGAAGCTACTAGGTAAGCGCGAATAAACATTTCGATCAAATTGACACGCAATGTTTCGTTATATAATGTCTTTTTAATTTTTCATCATATCCCTTACAGATCTCTGACATGGTTTAGAGGTGGACACGTGCCGATTGTAGAGAGAGAAATATTGCGTCTGCAACAAGAAACAAACGTTTCCGAGCAAACAATTAAACTATCATATCTTTTTCGAGATCGAGCAACGATTAAGGGACTTTTTATTACTCTAGGATTGTTTGCTGGACAACAGATGGCCGGGATATTTATTATGGTAAAGAAATATTTATTTTACGTTGCTTAACTTCTTTCTATTGACATAATTCTTTCTTCCACAGATAAGTTACACAGAAACCATATTTAAGATGTCAGGAAGTTCATTATCACCAAACAATTCGGCGATTATTGTAGGTGCCATTCAAGTGTTTGGCTCGTATTTATCCACGATTTTGGTGGAAAGAGCTGGTAGAAGATTATTGCTTTTAACGTCTTGTTTAGGGATGGGTATATGTCATTATACCATTGGGGTGTTTTGTTACCTGCAAACACTTCAATACGATGTCAATCAATTTAGTTGGATTTCGATCTTAGCCTTGTCCGTTTTTATGATTAGCTACGGTTTAGGCATGGGACCAGGTCCATACGTAATTTCTTCGGAAATACTTAATCGAGATATTTCAAATTTGGTGATAACGATGGGAATGTTCACCGCTTGGGGCATGGCATTCGTGGTCGTTAAGTTATTCCCAACTATAGTCGATTTGTTAGGTATAAACGGTTGTTTTTTCCTTCTCGGTAGCTTTTGTCTGATTATCTTTGCATTCGTTTTTATGATTATCCCAGAAACGAAGGGTCAGCCACGTCAATTAATCTTGGATCGACTTAATGGAATATCTCACGTGTTAGACACGACAAAATACATTTCTTCGAATGATGTTAAAATTATACCGAAACCCGAACTAATTTGAGAGCATTGTAAATAATAAATAATTTAATACTCTCATCTAATATTCTTTTCTTTCGATATTCAGAACTCCTAAATCAGGAGAGATTTAGATCTTGTTAAAGTATATGGTTGCATAACACTAGGCATATAACAGAAATGGAAAATGAAGGAATCTGTAAAAGAGATAAATTGAGATAATTATCGTTTTTATAATTAATTTGTGTTGCGTAAATAATCAATGGAATAAGAACTTTGTACATATTATTGTACATATTATTATTTTATATATATCTTGCTTTAAAATAAGTCGAAGATATAACAATTTTGTATAGATTTTGTTTGTACTTTATATAATAATCATAAATTATATATAACAATCATAATTAAGTTATAAAACAATATAATCATTGAACCCTTGATTGGTTCTAAATTTTCAAAAAAAAAAAAAAAAAAACGCATTGTGATATTCCATAAAAAATTATAATTATTATTATTTATCAATCATCATTTAACCTCTGTCGTACACTCTTATTACTAATTTTTCGTTTTTTAAATGTAGCCGGTTTTCCATCCTCATCGCTGTCAGCCGTATCAATTTGCGTTATAGTCTTTTCCTTGAACGTTCTTTGTATGGAAGGTGGTTCTGTTTTTTCAAAGACAGGTAATTGCAATTGTTTCTGCTTTGGTAATTGAAAATCGATTGGTTTCACTTCGCTGAAACGGAAAACATTCATCGAGCGTTATTTCATTTGCTAATTTATTTAACAGAATCTTGATTTATTAAAATATTTTCTCCTATAAATTTAATCTTTAATTTCAAATATTTACGTTTTTTGAACGGTCTGCCACGGTCCATACGGATGTGATTTTATCGGAATACTATAGTCCCGTCTGTACGGTCGGCTTTCCTCTTTGGTTTCAGTTTCCGTTTTCTCCTCTATATTTTGCTCCGTTCTTGATTGCGCGTTACGTATCTTCCTCAATTCCCTCATCCTTTCTCTTTCGGCATTGGCCCGTTTTTCTTCGAGGATATCCGCGTTTGTGATCGCTTGTTCCTCGTCCAATTGCTTCAACAATTCCTCTTGAAGCGCTTGCTCTTTCGCCTCTTCTTGTTGTTCCGCAAATGTCATGTATCCCTCCTCTGGCGGATTCCAAACGGATTCTGCCGTACAAAATATACACAGCATAGAGATATAAATTAACGAAAGACGAAGATAGAATTATTACTGCAAGAAAAACTTTGAATACATAGAGATAGACTCACCGTTAGTTTCTATGTTCCAATAATACGTGTACCCTTCGGGGCTGAGAGCTTCGTACCAAAGTTTTTGAACGGGTTTCGTAGCACGTTCCTCTTCAAGAATTTTCTTTCCCTTCCCTTTACCCTTCCCTGCTTTGCTTTTCCCTTGATTTTTGTGATCACCTCTTTGTTGAGATTTCACTTGATGCGACGTTGCATTTCTAGCCAGAGTTGGATCACACGGATCGATTTCCTGAGGAAACTGAAACTGTTAAAATATCTCTCGTTATAAATGTATTCTTGGCATGGCTGGTTGATAAACGAATTATAGTTCGTTCGGTATAACAGCGATCGATTTTATCCGTCAAGTCCCACCTGTTGATTATTCTCACTTTTGAACCTAGGCTGTGCTTCTGGGGTGGCTGGTGGTACACGATTGAAATTTGGCACCTGTAATGTATTTCCTTTCCTTTTTTTTTTTTTCAAAATTTCTATTAATACAGATATTAAATAGAATATTTTTGAGTACCTACGTCTTTTGTTTCTATTTGATTCATTTTTTCCTTAATAATCGTATCGGCAGTCATGTCTCTTGTATTGTTTTCTACGTCCTTCAAATACGCAGCCATAGCTGCCTAAATGTAATAATATATACGTATAAAAAGAAAAAAAGATAAAAAAGATTATTTTAGATCATTTAGCAAATTTGAAAAATGAAAATTAAATGAAAATATGATGAACGTACGTTTTCCATTTTCTTAATGTCGTCTTCGATCTTTTTGTTCTGTTTCGCCTGCTTCGCGCTGTTTTTATGTATTTCTTTAAGCCGTTTGCTAACATTTTCCTTGTGTTTCTTGCCACCTTCGTGAAAATCGATACTAGGTTTATTGTCAGCGATCCAACATTTGCAAAAATCACAAAATTTACGACCCTGAGATTTCCAATAGTCCGCCCTGAAACAATATATATATTCGATACTATTTTCTATATTGTTCGTTTATTTATTATTTTTTTTGTATATTTCATTTCTATCTTAATTGGATAAAATGTTTAAGAAAAGAACGAAGAATTAAAAGATATCTGTTATAAATCATCCGACAAAAAAAAAGGATAATTTTCCAATCTTAAGAAATATCGGATTTAAAAAATTTAGCTTTTATACATTTTTCTCTTTTGCAATAATTTTTTCATGTTTCAAACAAGGAACCATCCTCCCTTGTTAAACTTTGACGTTTACCATTAACGAATCAATCGAATGTTTTCGAGTCATGCATCGAAGGAAATCGCAATTCCTTCAACAATGCCACGTTATGTCAATAATAGAGCATGTATTAATAGCGGCAACGTCGTAAAAATAGCTAAAGAGAAGATTAGGTTGGCCAACTCAGTTAATCGTCTGATGAGCCAATTGGTACCTTCGTATCTTCTTTGTGTTTAAATATCCTCTCCTTAATATTTTTCTCGACGAGTTATTGCCGAGCGTTCTTAATAGACGGGCTCTTTGACCACGAGAGTGTAGTCTTCGTCTATCGATAATCTCTTACTCTTTCTTCTCCGATCATGATTTTCCGATTGAATGAACGAGTTTGTTCACGCAGCGAGGTCGAGGGCGAGGGCAAAATCCCTCCAGGCTCGAGAAGATCCATTGGCACGCGAATAGAAACGAACATGCACGATTCTCGTAATCGGCTAACACCAGAGTATATTTTCGTGCTTACTTTTTGGCACGAGCGTTCGATCGAGATTGGCCGTTTACATCCAAACCGGGTGGAATATTTTCGGGCGCGAACCACCAATCACCGTCCGCCAAACGAAAAAACGAAAATTCGATTCCCTCCAATAGGGCGAAGAGAACATGATGAGTGTGGGGGCGACACAGTTGCTCGAAGTTGTGGAAGCAGTCACGTGGAAACATGGAGAGGGGGGGGGGAGAGAGAGAGCAAGAAATCGAGCCGTCGCAAATCAGAAATATCTTTGATAAATTTCAGAGGTAAGTAGGTAGCAGCCAGCCAAAAAACAATTGGCACCTAGAAAATGTAATTTTCACGATGGCAACGACGACGACGATGATGCACTAACGGTCACGCCCTTAATTTTACGCAACGATTTATTTTTAGGCGAAAGAGAGATGGAACTATCGGCTCGTATTTGTCGTATCCATCATAAATATTGTTCACGTGTCTAAAAATTTGTGATCGTGTACATTTAAGATACTCGTTACACGATTACTTACAAGTAACGATGAATTGCTAACGTTTCTCGTAATAGGTTAGTCTCTTTGAAAATTATTCAGTAAACGAAATTTGAAAAAAAAAATATATATATATATATATATTACGACGTTTCGAACGTCGGGGTTTAGTTAGATCGTTTTATAGCTCTCTTACGGCCGAGCGGAAAAAAGGTTCATGGTTTGTTCTAATTTTATCTTGGAGGGTTGTATACTTGTGTTCCTACGTGTTCGAAAGGCGCGTCTTGTAAACCGCATCCAACATCGATACCGTGACTTTGCGGCTTGTTCTTTTTTTTTTTTTTCTTGCCACTATATTCCCAATGAATAAATACGAATAAAGCGAGTTTATCGTGACCGAGCTATCTTTTTGCTTATATATATCACAACAAAGATCCAACAACGATCTATACGTACAACTAGCACCAGTTCCAACCAAGTCGATACACGTGCGGTGAAGTGATCGCACATGCCATTTTCATTAACGATCGAATATCGCGATATGAAAATTCCGATAAACTGTTTCCAATGTAGTCCAACCGTTTCCAAATATCCGTGTTATTTCGCACTATATGGTTCGTCTATATAGTTCGTCTCGAGCAGCCCTATATGTGAAACATTCTATTATGTCTTCTTACTTTTTTATTCTCTCTCTCTTTCTCTCGTTCTTCTATAGAGCTTCCATATTCCATATAGAGCGAGAGTTTTTCGATTTAATGCTCTTATTCCGTCTTAATCTTTGGAAGAGAGAGAGAGAGAGAGAAAAGAAGCGTTATGATTTAAACTCGGCGAGGAGGATCGATACTAATTTTATAGCAAAAAAAAAATTTTTTTTTATACAAATCGTGTCAAAATAACGTTATATTTTTCGTACGTGTATTTTCACATCCGATATATTCTTGCATTTTTCATCCTCGAATCGTGAATGAGAATAAGGAGAATCGAAAGAAAGAAAGAAAGACGATCGATCCATATGGTTCGAGATAACATAATCATGAAACAACGATCGATGCTATTTTCTCTGGAGCTGGCTTTCGTTATTTCTGGAAAACATTTCGGCATCTGGTTCGTTAAACGCGAGTTTGAATCGCGAGTTTGAAGCCGAAATTACCGATCGTAAGAATGCCGGTTTCCGCGAATGCATCTGATTAAATATTTTTTTTTTTTTTTTTTTTTTTTTACAGTGATTATTAACGGATTATTAATAGAACGAAAACACAGTAGTTTTTAAATCGTTGCAACGCTGCACACGATCGCGTTGAATTGGATCCCCCTGTATAAGGGGAAAGGTTGATAAACATCTATCAGATATACACTAATAATAAATTTCTAAAGGGCCGCAATGGACGAGTTTCCATTCAACGGAAAGTCAAAAATAATCTCGAGTAAGTTCGTGTCTGACGATCGAATTGTGTAATCGTGGATCGACACGCGTTAAAAGTAAATCATTCTACTAGAGACCACTAAAAAAAAAGAGCGCAAGAATAAATCGAGTATAATAATATGTATAATAATAAGAGTAATCACAGATAAGAACAAAGAAAAAAAAAATAGGATCGAAGAAATATATGCGTAAAAAGTCAATCTGAGAAGCAATGGATGATCAACAAGAGTAGAAAAGATTTGACGGATCGTGTTACCGTTTAACTCCGATTCGATTCTTTCCCCTCATTGATCGCGAGATAACACAATCGAAATGTTAAATGAAAATATTATTTTATTTGCAATGTTTTCTTACATGTCTTGTCACTCACGCATACTCACATACTCACGTACACACAAATAGTTGTTCCTTCGTAAAGGTATATAAGTATAGGTAATACGCGATAATGGAAATTTGTTTGGTAGCTTTGACTAGGCTGAACTAAGTTGGTCCTTTGTCATGACTGCGGTTCGATTTACATTGCAACACGGTTGTAACGAAACGAGAAAAGAAGTAAGAAGAAGAAACAAAAAAAGAGATATAAAGAAAGAAAGGAAGGAAGGAAGGAAGGAAGGAAGGAAGGAAGGAAGGAAGGAAGGAAGAAAATATCGGATATTCTAGAAGAAACGATCTTATTAAATTGAAACGTAATGTGGATAACGTGAAAATAAAATAGATAAATTAACGAAATAAACAGACAAACAAACGAACAAAAACACGTGTATAAACGAATAAATATTCATGCGATATGTATATCGCTTCGCGAGATTCCAAATCTGAAAATTATATCATTTTTCAACACGTTTATTTTTGAAAGAATATAATTGTCCATCTGAGAAGAACTGTTGAAACGCGTAACGATGCACGGTAAAAAAGTCTTTATTACCTTACAACAAAGATCGTATACTATATATAATTTTTCTAATCGGTTCATTTTGGACCCTTGATCGAATAGCTAGATCGAAGTTTACATACTATATATACCATCGAAAAGTATTCGAGAAGTATTTATATATATATATATATCGATAGAGATCGAAAAATGTGAAGCGTAGTATTCGGTCAAAATCGATCTATGAAGATCGAGTAAAACGAGTGAAACGAGATCATTCTTCGAAGATCGATCGGCCGCTTTTGTTCGACACGAATGTACCCGACGAATACACGTTTCTTCACGAAAAAGGGAAGGAAATAATTTTCTTAAAAAAATTTCACGGAGAAGAGAGAAACGAAACGGAACGAAACGAAAAAACGGTTATATACCGCCGTATACGTATAACACGTCGTCCTCGTCGCGTCATTTCTAAATATTTTTCTTGCCAGCAGGGCAACAGCGTAGATCGTACAGATACGCCGTGTACAAACCATTTTTCAATTCTATCGGTCTAAACATCAGGTACTTGAAATACTATCGTTTACTCGACTCGTTGGTGGGGAAAGAGAGGGGGAAAAAAACGTGGTATATCGCGCAACGAATAAGCAATATTTAACGATGGCTATCTAACTAACTTAATAGAAATTTGTGTACATCGAACGGATTCGACGTGTAATTAATAATCTCGATTATGCGATGTTGCCGCTTAGATAGATATATTGGAACGGATGGGCAGAGAACGGCAGGTATTATACATCTGGAAAAAAAGCGGGAGAGGGGTGGGGAGAAGGATAAAGAAGTAAGCTAAGTCGGGTAATGGTAACGGAATGGAAGAAGGGAATGGGCCGAAATGGTCGGTAGAAGGGGCAGGGAGGAACTCTCGTTAAAGGATCGTAAACGCGATCGTTTTTCGACGCGGTGGACGATCGAAGTTTCATCATCCTGGCGACGTTTTCTTCTGCTTGGTAAGCTCCAGAAGAATCGGATAATGGAGGTCTGGACAATATTCCTGGCTGTTCTCCAACAATTCCAGATGCCTCGACCAAATCGTAGCGTCGTAACGATCTATTTGTCGCGCGACGAAACCCCTCTTTATCGCCGCTTCCGCAAATTGTTCAAAAGTCGATCCCCGTCTAGGCGCCATCACCAGAGCGAGGCCATCGTTTGCCAGCCAGCCGTAGATCGTCTCCACCAAATCGGAACGAGCCTCGTCGAAGAAAAGACAATCCGCGCACAGGATCACGTCGTACAGTTTTTCCGTTAATTTTGCAACATCCTTGGCGCCGCCACTCCAGTTCTACCGGTAAAAATTCAATTCAGAAATTCACGAAAAGTTTTCTCTCTCTCTTTTTTTTTTTTTTTGTTTTTTTCCTCGAACGCTTCGAAGAACTTTCGATGAAACGAGGAAATGCAAATTCTCTTTTCGCACTTTGCCGCAATTATCCTGGCCGCGTGCGAATCATCCGAAGATACGACGACGATTATACAAACGATCACGATCACGCGAAAACAGGAAAAAAAAAAAAAGAAAAAGATTGATTGGAATAGCAAACGAGATCGTCGTGATCAACGTGCATCGAATAAATACGCGGAAGATTATCGTATCGAGAGAATCGCGTGCATATCGAATGATTCACGGTTCTTCGATAAACGGATATGCGATAGAAAATAGAAAACTAGCGTGGCGGACAATCGTGGCGGCAAATCAACTGGAATTTATCCTTCCTTCGCACTGGATGGAGAAAAGTGCGCAGGCGCGTGATCCGAGTGAGAAGTTTTAAAAGCTCGAACGCTCGAACGAACGGACGCACGCACGCACGCACGCACGCACGCATCATCTCCGGTTTGCTCGCGACAGAGGAGCGCGCGAAACGCGTAACACGCGAGAAGTATAATTCACCTTGACTCGAAGAGCGTTGGGATGGGGATGTAGGAACGGTCTGACCGATCTTGCTGCCCTGATCGCCCTGGCCGCTTTGGCCCACTGTACCACGCCACACTCGACGAAATCGGACATGCCGTTCCTCGATACGATTCGTCGCACGTTGTTCACACTGGTCACGTTCCCATCCGTGAGCGCGATTTCCTTCGGGTCGCAGTACTTGGCGGCGAGCACCCCCGCCAGACAGCTCATACCGCCACCGAGTTCGAGGATTCTTCTGTTTCGACAGAGATGCCGATTTTTCAACAAGTAATAAGCCAAACATTCCTCCGACGGCCAGACGCAGATGTTTCCCGTATTGTTGAACCCGATCAACTCGTTCGCCGTGAAATTTCTCTTTGTTCGCCGGCGTATCTCTATGGTGAACAACTTGTTGTCCAAAACGGTCGAATATTCGTACCAAGCCGCGAACGAATCCGGATCCGCGGTTGGATTGCTCTCCAACCGATTCACTCTCAACAGATCGAAGCTGGTGAAACGGCGCACCGATATCTCGTTCTCAGGATCGACGGAGATCGGTTCCGAGACGGTGCCTATCAACGCCTTGGCAAGGATGCGCCATCTTCGCTGGGCGGTGCTCCTCTTCTTCCCCTCGAGAATTTCGTTCGAACTCTTCTCGGACATTTTTCACCCGTTCCGGCGCGTTCCATCGAACGCGCGTCTCCCTCGATGCAATGGGGGGATGGATGATGCTACGAAAGGGGACGGCGTTTCATGGCGAGGACGAAAACACGAGGACGATCATCGCCGATCCGAACGTCTATCCGCTTCATCGTTCAAACCGCGGCCGGTCGCGGACTCCGTTCGTTCCACACTTTTTCCCTTTCCTTTTTCCTCTTCCCTTCGTTCGAGGCTTCGATGAAAATTCGCAGGCGGGCGACCTCAGGAGCGGGAACTCGCCTTCTCGTTGGCCGTTCTACGGGACGGGTGAACGAAGATGAACGAGAAGAGACACGGGCCGAGACTAAAAGCGCGAAGCCAACTTCTAACTCGCGCCACGCGGATACCGAGCGTTCACCGCGTCCGTTTCACGCCTGCGCGCATCCTTCTGTCTGTTCTATCCGCTTTCCATTCCGCGCAACTTCACCCTGCCGATACACCCCCCTTTGTCTTTGTCTCCCGCCTCTCCTCGCATCACTATGACCCCCCACTCCCCCCTCTCTCCCCCTTCGACTCATTACCACTTTGATTCACCGCGGGGGTCTCCTCTCGCGCTCCTTCTTCTCTTCCTTTGTTCCAATTTTTTTTCTCTATCCTTGCATTTCCTTTTTTCCCTGTTTATCCTTTTCTTTCGTCGAAAAAAGAAAGGAAACTCTCGCTTTTCCATCACTGTCACGTACATTTCTCCACGTATATCGTGCATTTTAGCACATCTCTTCCCCTTCTTCCTTAATCTTTTTTTCGATTGAAGGATCAATTCAATATACGATATACAACTCGAGTTAACGAGTGGAATAAATCCGTTTGAAAATCGGACGGCGCCATGTGCTCAACGACACTCTGTTACTCTGCCCCGACAACATATCGAGGTTACGACAAACGTGACGCTATTCGTGGCGCTATTCCGGAAAACTGGCAAATAAAACGGAGGCAAAGAGTTCGAACGATCGTATCGAGCAAAAGATCGTGCACGATACGAGAACGAGATGTCTCGCGAAAATTCGAAAGCTTGTATCGATGATCTTTCATTGAAACAGTTTTCATTTTCCTTTTTCGAGACGAATATGCGATAATGGGATTGTACAAAAATTGGTATCTAGCAAACATTCGATGTTTTATTCGATATCGCGTCGCGAGCACAGTTGACTTCGCTTTCTTACAGTCTCCTTCTGTTAGCGTATTCTCCTATGATAATAAAAAGCATAAAAAGCATAGAAGCATCCCTTATTCGAATAAGACGTAAATTCGCGAAGATATACTTTAGGGGATATATACCTAGATCGAGGTTCGATAGAATGAGGGTAAATGTCTATTCGAGTTGTTTGGTCGATTTTATTCAGTTCACCCGCGACCGATCCAATTTACCTGAAACGAGACAAAACTTTTAACGGTATTATTACGTAAAACGTAACGCGTCTGTTGAGAATGTTTTGCAACGTGGGACCATTGTTGTACAATGGTTGGTTGCTAGTTAAACGATTCCTGTCTTTTGTTTTTTTTTTTTTTTTTTTTTTTTTTTGATTATCGAACAAATTGCTTATCGGGACGATAATTCGGAATTTAAACTCGTTTGAAAAAACGAGAAAGAACGATAACTCACGGAGATACGTCGATAAACGTAATCTCGCATTTCCGTTTTTCGCTATCGTCCAATTTCTTTTGTAGCATTCCATCTTACGTGATCGAAATGTCATTTGGATTATTCGCAATATGTGATGTGAAAAGAAAGTTTCGTTGCATATTGCTATAATTTATAGCCAATATATTATATAATTTATAGCGAATTCAATTCGTGTATTTTCGGTCAATCCTATGTAGCGAAACAATTGGCATATATTGATGTATGTATGGAAGTAAATACTTATTATGCTTACGCAATTGTAAAGGACAGCGAGAGAAGAGAAAAGAATAGGCAATGATGAGATATAATGGAAGAGTAAATGCATAGATAGAAAGAAAGACAGAGACCGAGAGGTCCGTTGGTTTGTATATAATCTACTTTATATTGTTTGACACGAATAGAAGTTGGTGACAACGATACTTTCATTCAAATACGAAACCGATAGTCTCTCTTTGCCAGGACGAATATAGAATTTCCTCGTTTCTTGCGAAAATGCAAATTATCCGATAAGATAAATATGAATCAAAATGATAGGTTTCTAGAGGCAATTCACCTTACATTTATTTTCGAGTTGACGAATTCAATATTTTTTCATTATTATTAAAACATTTTTCTATAAATGAATATAACGATTTAAAGCATTTGAATATGATAACAATTGATCATGTTTAGAGACATTTTTGATTTTTTGGCATAATACAAATCACGATATTCTATGATAAAATGCAAATATGTATGCGTCATTTTAAGGAAATCGATTAAAGGTAATCATGGCTATAATCGTAAAAATAATGTTTCTCAAAGAACGATGTGAATGATGTGAACCATTTTAAATCGAAGAGATTGCCAGTAAGAATGGTGGAACGATTTCGCGCTTGCTTTTCAATGTAATAGAGTAATATTGCGGCCCTCCTGGCAAGCCATCTCGACGCATTGCGTCTAATTTGATCGAAACTTGAAACTAACTCTAAGATATCTAATCCTTATTCCTACATGTCCGAATCAACAGACGTTTTTCTTTATTCTCTTTTTTTTCCTTTTTTTTCTTTCATCGAATTTTATTTTTTCTTATCTTTTCTAATTTATTTTTGTTTTACTTTAATCTCTAATATTTTGATTAAAGTAAAAATTAATACTTCCTTCAACAATTTTTCTTATTCGTTTCATCAATATTTATAAATAAATATTAAATTATATTTAATAAATATTAAATATTAAATATAAAATTATTATATATATAATTCCATTTCTATTTCTGTTGTTATTCATTTTATGACAATGATAATGAGAAGAAATAACCAATATTATAAATGTGTTTAGTTGTAGTTAGTTAGTTAATTAGTTGTATTATAGGATTCTAAAAAAATATCTAAAATCTAAACTAATATTATAATTCATATTTTAAATAGTTTACTTCACAAATAAAAAAAATTTTCTCAAAAATTACACGGTACAATTTATTGAAAATATAAATTTTCTATTCAATATTGTACATATTGATGCATATATATATAATATATATATATATATTATATATATGGAGTGAGAAAGAATGAAACAAAAGTAAAAATTATGTCAGAATAAGGACATTTAATGTCCAATATTCACATAAATAATACATAATAATATGGAATAATATCGATGCGATCTTTATTCTATATTTATTTATTTATCAATAAAAAAGAAATTAATGTTTTTTCTAATAAAAAAATGAATATGTTGTTACGTTTTTCTTTGTTTTTGATAATATTAAAGTGGATATTTACTATAACAAATATTCAAAATATTGTACACGACAATATACTTACATATTTTAAAACTTGAAGAAAAATTTTTAATGCCACTTCATTAATTATGAACAATGAAATATAAACATTAAACGAAATTTGAACTGCATGGAAATCTAACCTCAAAAAAATTTAATATATTCACTCAAAATATTTATGCGTTTATATATCTCATTCACATTGTATATCGTTTCGTAATTAAAAAATATGATTTTTAATATAAACACTGTACAAATATAAATATATTGATATAAAGATTAACGCAATGAAACAATACACAAAAACAATACAGTCGATAGTATAGTAATATAAACGATCAACTAACGCTATCTGAAGGTAGAACATTTAAACATTGATGATAACGATGACTTCAATTTATTTACTTTTGTTTTTTATAATAAAAATGAGGTCATTGCATCATGATAAAGTACAGAATAAATATTTATATTTAATTTTATAAGTTACATTCTAAAATATCAAAATGTTTGGTATATTCTTTACAATTTAGAACAGTAAGTGCAAAAATTGTATTCAATTCAGTCATAAAGTACAAATAAGAAGAGTGAGAGAAAGATAAAAATATTGATGTCAATGCCATTTCCAGAATGTTGAAATAGATAAAGAAAAAATATCAAATAATGGCTAATAGAGATAAAATAAAAAATTATCTTTAGGGAATCTTTTAAATATCAAAGATATCTCTTTAAACAATCATCTTTTTCACTCAGAAATGATTCTCATTAATTCTTATTCTATTTTAATAATAATTATGTTATAATAAATATTATAATCAAGTATAAAATGTAACATTTCATATTCGTCTATTAAATATTTTATAACAAAATATTTGTATTGTTTTTATTTAATTTTATTGAAATTTAATTTCATTTTCAATCATTATTAACCAATTTTATCTTACATAATCTTATTACCAATCTATGAACTAAATCAATAATATTGAAAATGATATTAAATGATATACTAGTGACATAAGAATAAATACATCGAATGTTAAGTCTATTTTGTATCTTATCTGTGGTTACATATCCAAATATGTTACGTATTGCGCATGCGATGAGTGATCGATTGTCTTTGCGTTAAAATGTTATGTGATATCTGATATTTCGAAAATGTTTCTGTCAAAAAAATCTAAAAGTTTCGGTGTGCTAACCTTTCTTTTTTGTAAATTTTATGATATTAATTATTCAATTCAATATAAATTTTTATTTCTAATGTCAAATAACGAAATCAAAAAAAGAATGGTGGATTGCATGTTAAATATACCAATAAAGTGTTTTATAAGTTTAGCCTGTTAAAAGTATCAGACTCGTTTGCGATGACGTAAAATATAATCTAGAATATAACAGGATGAATAAATCGAGAGTAGGGTCAGAATATATTCCGTTAGTGGGAGACGACATGTTGCAAACGCGATACGTTTTACATTTTGCTAAATTAGCATGGTTTACAGTATCTTTACCTTTTTTCGCATTTTTATTTTGTATCACTTGGTCCGTTGTATATAATTTTGAGCATTCGACTTCCACACATTGTAAAGTAAGCATTTTTTCTATTAATATTTAATATATACATATATGCATGTATATATATTATAAATAATATTTTATGCTAGGTTTATAATTTTTTACCATCTGTATCTGCTGCGATTGGACATTACAGGCCACAAAGAGATGTTTGGAAAATTGCAATAGCTATGCAAGCAGTGGTAAGAATTTTAGTATTAATAATGTATCGCCGTTATTATAAAGAGCATATCTATAAATGGGCACAAAATATTTGTAATGTTGCAACTGTTATCTATGCTATTGAAAACATATCACTTATATCATTAAGTTTTTGGACATCCAATGAGAATTATGGTATGTATATAAGATAATCATTATAATATGTGATTTTGAAATACAAACTAATTTAGTATTTAATTTTTCTTCATTTCAGTTTTTCATAAAGTATCTTTTATAACATTTTTAATAACATCTGTCATTCATATGCAGATAGCATATTATATAATGAGAAACTGTCGTAATATTACTAAAGAATCTTCTGAAGCTATCTCTCTAAAATGGAAGAGAAGATCTATGATGTTGAATTTATTGTGTATATTATTTGCAGGCTACTTTTTTTACAGACATAATAAATATTGTGAACCTTTAGGTGAGTTAACTGACTTAAAAAAAAAAAATAAAATAAAATAAAGTAAAAATAAAACTTGATATAATATAAACATTTTTTTGCAGTTTACTCTATGTTTGCACTAAGCGAATATGGAGTTGTTCTTTCAAATATAGGATTTCATTCAACAACAGCTTGGGATTTTGCAAATTCTTCTCTTATGATATCAGGAAAAGGATTTAGAATAATTTAATATTGTACAAAAATTATCATTTTTAAACATCTCTATGAAAGGTATTTCTATATTAATTTTTTTATATTACTAAATTTATTTAAATGCAGTTTTTTATATTTTATTATTATAATGAGAGATATTAATTTTTATTTTTATTTGAATAGAAATTATTTTGACTAAAAATATTCCCAAAGCAATCGTCATCGTTTGTGTGAAATACAGAAGTTACATGCATACTTGTAAAAAGAAAAAATAGAAGAAAAATTAAGAAATGAAAAAGATCAGATGAATTAAAATCATTTATTATAATAATATATATCAAAATATAAATATTTTTAGAAACTATTTTTTTTAATAAAAAAATTTTGCGATAAAGAAGAAGATAAAGTATGTTTTATTGCACGTTACGGTATGTACATAAGTCATGAACACATTATTTTCAAAATGCACATATTTTTTTACGTATTTATTTTCAAATATAAATTTTTATTTTTATATGTATTAACACGGATTATTTTTAAATTTGGTATCCGAATTTCTTGTCGGACTCGTCAGAATTTAAAATCTTTTTCTAGTTTATCAGCAATATATTTAGCAATCGCCATGGAACTAGTTGCAGCAGGAGAAGGTGCATTGCGACAATGTATTACTCTCTTACCGATATTACCTTTTCCTCCATCGAAAACAAAATCATCTACTAAATTGCCATTTTTATCCAATGCTTGCGCTCTAACACCTGATGGCCCCCTATAATTAAACGTAAAATGCAATCAATAACTTAAATAGTATATTTATAATATGATAGAATATGAAGAAAATATTCTTTTCTTTACCTTTTTATATCTCTAATAGTTACTTCGGGGATAAATTTTTGTAAATCTCTTATTATAAGTGGATAAAAAATTGATTTAATCATATCTCTTAATCCTGGTACAAAATGTCGAATACATAATTTGTACAGTCCTGGAAATTTTGCCATTTCTATACAATCTTTTATATTTATATCGCGCCACCTAAGAATATATTATAATTAATCGTTATATTCGATCGTTAAATATATTTATTTCGTACCGATAACCCTCTCTTGCAAATGCTAAAACTGCATTTGGACCAAGCCATATTTCGCCAGTGATTCTAGGTGTAAAATGAACGCCTAAAAATGGTAATCTAGGGTCTGGAACAGGATATAAATTGGTGCTGCATAAATTTCTTTTGCTTTCGCTCAACAACAAATATTCTCCCCGAAAGGGAATAATTTGTGGGCTACGATCGCATCCTGTCATTATTGCTAAACGGTCCGAATGTAGCCCAGCGCATGTTAACACGTATTTTGTTGGTAAACACTACGATAATAGAATATGATAAAGATATTGCAAATTAAAGATGGCTATATGTGAAAGTTTTAATATACTTTATCTTTCGAATGCACTGAAATTGGAGTTAATTCATTTGCCCCTTTAGATTCTGTCATCTCTGAGAAACCAACAACTTCAAAATTTAAAAGTATTTTTCCACCCATTTTTTGAAAATCTTTACCAAAATGTTTACAAACTTCTGCCCAATTGACTATACCTGTCCATGGTGACCATATTGCTTTTTCTCCCTATAGAAAACACACGTATTTCTTATTATTTTATTTTTAAACTTAATATTAATTTTTTTTTTATTCTCTTTTTATGATTTCAAAAATAAAATAATGTTAATACTTTGCATTTAGCTTCGTAATTTGATATACAATGTTTTTCAACTATTTGGATATCCGGTACATTATTTTGAATTGCTCGATCGTACAAGATATCCAATTGTTTGACTTGTTCTTTACTGTGAGCCACTATTAGTTTTCCAACTTTTTTGTGAGATATATCGTGTTTACAAAAATAGTCGTAACTCAGTTTTAAACCTTCCACACATAGTCGTGCCTGCAATTATTTCCTGCCGGATCAAAAATCCCTTAACGAAGCGTTATTCTATTATGCAATTTTAAATGCCACATATTTAAACAAAATAATATTTCTCTCGGAAGAAAGAGGCGAATTAGGAAAAATGTACAATTATTGCTATATTTTTACTTTCATAGAGCCAGGCTTGTAATAAATGCCAGCATGTACTACACCGCTATTATGCCCTGTTTGATGTTTTGCTAGCTCATTTTCTTTTTCAACGATTGCTATCTTTAAGCTAGGATGTCTTATTAACATTTCTCGACCAGTAGCGCATCCAACAATACCACCCCCGACAATAACTAGATCGAACGAGCTACATGAATCTGGACTGAAAATGATTATACGCGTAATTTAATTTAATATAGAATTGAAAAAATAACAAATCACATTAATTATACGTGCATGAATTCATGTAACTTCTTTTATCTTTATCTATTTATTAACAGAAATGAACTCATCAATGTACAAATATAACAGAGAAAAATATGGAATTTAGAAATTATGAAAGATAATGTGCATAATAATAAAATAATGAAATTGAAATTGCGAAATTGATAAAAGAATTTTAATTGAATTAAATAAAAAATAATGGGTACTTGAATATAGATCAATGATTGATATTAAAAATGACTCGTAAAATAATGATACTGAAAAATAGAGTTACATTTAAAAGTTAGATTTAATGCATTGCACATCATAAAATCAACTAACTTGGAAGTAGTAGTGGTAGAGGTGGTACTAGTAGTAGTAGTAGCAGCAGCTTTACATCCAAAACGACGTATATAAATAAGTTGCTGTAACAAAATTCTTTTTGTCAAGAATGCAAACATGTTTGTTTTTGCACACTGATTTATCACTTTAAATTTTTCTAAAAAGGAAAAGATATAGATTTATTAAAATTTTTAAGAAAGTTATTTTTCAATTATTATTATTATCAAAGTTATTGATATTATTTATTATTAAGAATTTAGCTATGAAATTTCGGAACAGGAATTGTCTTATATGCTATATGTTAAATTTAATTGAATTAAAAAAAAATCATCGTTACCGAATATCAATGTTATGTTTAGAAATATGTTTGCAAATAAAGGTTGATCTCTTCAATTAACGCTGCATTACGATGCTTTTGATGATATATTTAACACTGTAAGTACGAGTGTAATAAAAGGCACATGTGTTAACCAATGACCAATGAAGAAAACGCAACTGAGAGGAAACATACCATGTTCTTACCTGTAAATTTTCAAAAAGGTATCATTTCATGTTATGATGTTATATTTGCAAAATATCACCTAATGATAATTTGCTTACCGAACTGAGAAATGTATACATAGTTCTGACGTCAATTTTCAGTGTTTGCCTGATGTCGCTTGATGAAGTTCTATTACCTAGTATGTGGCGCCTCCACACATTTTTTTTCAATATTAAATTTGACGATAATGTTTCATTAATAAATTTCTTTTATGCTAATTAAAAGCAATATAGAATCAATGTAGAAATAAAGAAATGTATACATGTAATTTAAAATCAGGATTTTATAAATAATGAGAAAAAATGATTTTCATTTATATATATTTCTAACGAAATTATTTATTTTTTTATATTATTTTAAAAAATAAGATAATATAATCGATGATTTAGCATTGAATCCATTTTTTTTATTTTCAAATATATATAAATATCTTTTATTTGATTTTATTTTTTTCACATTGAATAGAAAATGAACCAATGATAAATAGTAAAAATATGATGATATAGAAAAAAAAAAAAGAAATTTTATAATTAGAGATTATAGTAAAAAAGAGTAAAAAGATCAAAATAGTATTATACACTGAATTTATCACTATTCATGACTGAAAATATTAAAAGAAAAATATATGTATATAAATAAAGTATTAAATATTAAATATTAAGAAAATCGATTGACAAATATTGAAATAAATTTTAATACAATAAAAAAATTAAAAAAAATATAAATATATTTTTATAATAATTAAGTTCTTATATTTTTTTAAAGATATATTATGAAAAAAATATTAAAAATATTATTTGTGATTATTAATATTTTTTATAATATTATATAAAAGTTTAATAATATTGATGGCATGTTTTTATTGAAATATAATGTATAATACATATACTTAAATATACGTAATATATAAAATAGATAAATATAAAAGAAATGTAATATAATGAAAAATAAATGTTTTATTATGAAGGTCGGGTGGTAAGTGGAGAGAGTCGTCCCTGAGCCATGGTGCGCAGTTGTGATGCGCGAAAGTACTACGGCGTCGGGAGTCAGTCAACTCGGTGACGTTCTACAGTGAATGTCGTATGGTGAATTTGTTATGCCGGTATTTACGAAACTGAAACGAAGTGATAAATTTACGCACACACATGTATTTTCAAGAGTGAATCGTGTAATTATAATAATAGTTTAATCGTTAAACGCATCAAATAGGCTTAGTTAAGAAGAAAAAGATACGAGTTGCATTGGGGCGTCTCTGCAAACTAGAGCAGCGAACAATGTAAAGTCGATATTTTTACAAATTTCATGTGATGTATGTGCAATCCATAGGCGAAGGATAATCAATCAACAGAAGAGATTAAATTGATCAAAATGATTTATATAAACGAATATGATTTGATTTGAGAATGTATCCATATAGTGGTTCATAATCGAGACGAATGAGTCGTGAAAGCATTATCGAAATAAAATTTCTACTTTTCTTTGCGAACGAATAGTGAATAAGCGTACGTTGTCATTTTCGTTCCGTTATTATTGCTAAAGACTTTAAAGAAAAATATACAGAAAGATAGACAGATATAATATTATATTAGGCGTGGAACGAAAGGTATGTTGAAAAAAAAAATCATAAGAAGAAGGCATAGTGCAAACGATTGAAAAAATTAGGAAAGAAAAAAAATACAATCGAAATAAGGAAAAGAGAGAAAGAGGGGAGCCAGGATCGGTTGGAAGAGAGTCGGACGGTCGAGGTCGTCGGTGAAGTAGAAGGCGCGAAGCGCGCGCGCGACGAGTTTCTCGTCGTGACGAGTCGTGAGGATGGAGGACGAGTTACGATGCCCTTGTTGTAAAGAATTGTTCGTTGAACCGGTGCTATTACCATGCTGGCATGCTCTTTGTCTTGCGTGCGCGGTTAATCTGCAAGCACCACCGGATTCACCTCCAGAATCGACGACTGATTCATCGAATGCACCGGGATCTGATCAGGAAGCGGATAAACTTTCGATTCTTTCCGAAACGGATTCTGGTGTAGTGTGCAGCAGCACATCAACTAGCTCGCGACCAGGAAGCTATGTCGGCACACCCGGAAACGGAGGTTTTCCACCATCAGGCGGCACTTTATGCCTCTCCTGTCCTGTTTGTCAGAAAACCGTTTATTTTGACGAAGGAGGAGCTCACAATTTACCCAAATACAGGGCAATGCAACATATCGTAGAAAAATATCAAGAATCGAGAAACACGAGACTGCAATGTCAAATGTGTGAGGCTGAACCCCGGGACGCTACCGTCGCCTGCGAACAGTGCGAGGTCAGTAAACGTTTGCCTCTTTATCTTATTCCTCATTTTCCTTTCCTAGTACATGTATTAAATACATGTATTTTTCTAGATTATAATTATACTTAATACCTATAGAAGGAAATTATTGTATCTCAAATGATTATATATAATCATCAATTATATAACAAACTGTATCGTGATACACAATCTACAAATTTTTCGACAAAATAGAAATAAATATGTTACAGACTTATATGTTTATAGAGAGATATATGATGAATGTGTTTCAGGTTCTGTATTGCGACGCGTGCAGAGAATCGTGTCATCCAAAGAGGGGACCTTTGGCGACGCATAACTTGGGCCCGCCTCGAGGCAGCTGGCAATCGAATGGAGGAGGTAAAGGTGTTCGCGGTTCGAACGCGGAAACTACGCCTCTCTGTACCGATCATAACGGCGAACCGTTGACCCTTTACTGCGCTCTTTGCAAGATCGCGATATGCGCTCTTTGTCTTCGAGATCGCCATGCAGCTCATCCCCACGATGTGCTCCCATTGGCCGCAGCTTGCAAGGCTCAAAAGGCGAGTGTTTTTAATATTTTTATTTTTGTTTAATTTTATTTATCGTCAATAAAAAAAGATCGATGGTCAATAAAGATCGATGAATGTCGATCGTTCTTTTTTTTTTTTTTTTTTACGGATTATTCAGTAGTAAGTAATCTGGTTCGATTGAAGGAGAGATTTAACGGTGACCTTGACGAAACTGGTTCTACCGTCATTCACGTCATCACGTTATACTCGAACATGGTGATTATTTTTGGTGTATATTTTTATACTTAACTAGGGATCAACAACCGCGATTTAGAGTAAGAAAAAGATCGAGAAAAAGTTTTAAATCAACGATAGATTTACGAATTTATGACGCGAATGTTTTTATGCATCTCCATTGCATGTGCGTTTTTTCTTTCGAAATTTCCGGACAACTGGATCAGTTTTCAATTTTCACGATCTCGCCTGCTCTTCCGGATCGTTTTCTCTAAAAACGTTATTGTATAATTTCCTAATTATAGATCTGCTAAAAAGTATAATTTCTCGTTATCTAAAATTATACGAATTGTTTAGTTATTTTCAAATTCAACGTAACTTTCCTTCTTTTTAATAATTACAACGTGATACAACGAAATTGAAATTTATTAGAATTGTAGAATAATCTGAAGCTTAGTATTTCGCTCGATTCATACGTTTTCTTACGCTTATATAAAAATATGCTTAGAAAAATATGTTTCCACGATTAATTGTTCACGATTAATCGTGATCGCGATAAAAAGCAACGCATCCGGCTTGCCGTATGGGAGCGTAAAATTCGTATTGTTCGACGCCTTTAAACGAGAAAGGGTCTCGATGAATCTGTAGAAAAGAGGACGTCCACGTGGCCTTTCCGTGTACAATCGAGAGCATAGTAGAAATTGGAACGGCGCACCGTGTTCTCGACAAGTGTTCTTATTATATTTTCTCCCCCTCGACGTTCGATTTTATCCTCGTATTCTTTCGCGACAATTCGTCCCGTTTCTCACGCCATCCCCCCCACCACCATCATTTATGTTATCGGCGGTCAACACCTCTTCGAGAGTATTTGCCAAAGTCAATATTTTCGTAGTAATATTTCGACGTTAGCGAGACGGAGTTGAACGATCGTTTTATCGATCTGATAGAACTGTGAACGAGTTTCGAACGAGAGCGATAGCTTGAGAGAAATGGAAATTCGTGGAAATTCGAAAGATCGATGCCTTGGCAAAAGAGAATCGCGAGACCTTTTAGACGGGTCGCGTACCATTAGGTTCCATAAATGGAAACTTGTTGGAAAATGGCGTCAGCCCGGAATACAACGTAAGACCGGCTTTCATATGCTCGACTAGCCGGTCTGCTGGCTGTCGAGCACGATATACGGAACGAGTGATGAATTCTCGAGGAAAAGACCAAAACGGTCATTCGTATCTTCGTTAATACCGCTGTGGTTACGGTTGTGGTTACGAGCGTGGTTGCCTTCTTTCACCTCTCTTTTTCTTTCCTCCTTTTTTATTTTCTTCGTGACACGATTTAACGAACTCAAATTAAAACTGCTTTGGAAACGAATATCGGCTTTTAACACCGTTTAAACTAAGTTCCTCGTCCAAGTTTCGTCTCAATATGAAATCTCGTGCTTTGATATAACACCTCGCTGCGATGAGCGAGAATTAATCAACGAAGCGACATTGTTTCGTCCAAGTTGCGCGCTTTATAGCGGATACGATTATCTTCATAGTTCGTTTCCTCGATCAAAATCAATATTTGTCTGCAACACTTGATATTATGAATTTGATTTTACCTGCTCGACTCATCAATGAAAATTCGTTCTATCGTCGATTATATCCGATATATGATCGAATAAATCACGTAAAAATAATAATAAATTTTTTGTACAACGTATGAGGGACAAGAGAATCTTGTTTTTTAATCTCTGCTTAGAGATCTCAACGATAAAACGTCGTCCCAAATGAACGCGGTGAAAGTTGAAAGAGTACGGTATTGCGTATACATACGCGACAAGGATGAAGAGAGAGAATTAGGTTGGTTGGTTGACAGATGGCCGATGGAGGAAGACTATTGGCACGGTTAGAAATTCGATCGGACAGAAAACGGAAATCGCATCGCGCTTGAAAGAAACATCGAGGAGTTTTTATGGAAAATTCTGGTCGCAAAAATTTACGAACGTAGCTATGTCGCGCTGAATGTCGTTAAAAGGCGAACTGGGGACCGCTGTGGAAGAGAATTACGAGGCGAAAATATAGGGGAAACGGAAAGTGCAACGAGGACGCGAGAGCCTACAAACGAAAATAGTTCTTGAAACAGTGCCAACCTTTGATACTCCTCGTATGAGTCCTCGCATCGGTAAATAAACAAAAGGTATATACGCCCGCGTGGACGCCTACTGCGAAAGAGTACGCACGAGATGATCTTGGAATACACACGTGCTCGTTATTGGAATTCGAGCTTTTCTCACGATTTATAAAATATGAAAATAAACGATACGAGATTGAATTCTTATTCGTTGATTCACGCGATGATATCTCGTGTACGATAAGTTATCCAATAATATATCGAAAATAATAGAGTAAATAAATAAAACAAAATTTTAGATGAAACTTTTTTATTTATCGTTCGAAAACTATTATTTTTCCTTCGCTATCTACGACCTATTTCATATCTTTCTTACAAAATTCCATCTCCGATATCTTTCTCGTTTCGAAACTTTTCTCTTCGGAAACGGTTATATTGCATCGATCGAAATAAGTGACGAACCAAAGAAATAATATTCCAGAAGAATAATCCAAATATTCTGGTAAAGTTTGTGACGCGAAATGTAAACATTTTTCTTTGCCTCGAATAAAACTAATTTCTCTTGCAAACCTCTTTAGTTAAATATTATAGCGTAATAAATAATTCCGCTTTTGTTCTATCATCATTTCAAATAATTATTTAATAATTGATGAAATTCTAGGTACGGAATCGGCCAGCGAATTCATTAATAGCTCTGCTCGGTATAGATATACATCTGTAGGATGTCTTAGATATTTATGGTGGCTCGATCGGTGTGATAAGTGCGCTGGGCACGCGGTTAGGGTGATAGGGTATATGCAAGGACGAAAACGCGCGTCTCGTTACATAGTGCTATTACGCACGAAATGTGCCGTGGCGCGAACATCTCCTCCTCCTCCCCCTTTGCCCTCGACCTTCTCTTTCTTTCTTCTCTTTCCCCGTTACTCGCTCTTTGCTTTCCCTCCAGCTGACCCAGCTTGTTTCGTTTCGAATTTAACGATGGAAAATGCACCCTAGCCAAGTCGATAAGTTGCTCTTTTCCCCCCTCTCTATCTCTCTCTCCGCTCCCCTTTTCTCTATGCCCTTCCTCTTGCGGCCCCCTCCGTTCCCCTCGTAGCCGTTTGTCCACGGCTCGATAGGCGGTTTTTTGGTCGAATAAATTTGATAAAAACCATTCGGTACGAAACATTTTTCATCCGAGATGGAAGAATGGGCGGCGGTGTTACGTTATGGTCTAACGACGAACGACGTAGTCGCTTCGTCTCCTTCCCTTTCCTTTCATCCTCTAAAAATATCCTCGCTATGCCTCGCAAATCTTTCGCTTTCAGATTTCGAAATGTTTTCGTGGGGCAAAGATAGAAGTTTTTTTTGTTTCGAGAAATTCGCGTTAGAATTTCTTTGATACATCGTGGACATCGTTAATATCGTTATACGTGGAAGGAACGGGAAAAAATGAATCGTAGGTGGAACGAGAGGAGACGGAACGAGAGTGAGTCACTGTTTAAGGGCAGGGACCGATACGAAAGTGTGCAGTACTACTATACCATGTCTGTAACGCGTACCGGGGTGTAAAGAATGGCCGATTAGAGACTTCTTTTATGTATTCGCATTTACTTTCGGCAAACACGTGGCTGTACGTGATTTTCTTAAATTTATTCTATCTCATCTCTCTCTCTCTCTCTTTCTCTCTTTTTCTCTCTCCTATATATTGAATTCTCGTTATAAATCGTTGTAATAACAAAAGTTGGAATCGAACAAGATTTGACTGGGTTAATAATTTCTCTGGAAATCGATCCGGCGCTCGTTTCCGAGTTTGTGTACACGGGCGCGTAGGTTTGTCGGGTCAGCAGCCCCACAAGAGGGGTTCGTCCCTTTCTTATCACCGCGATACACCACGTAGAATGCATCGTAATCACGCTTCGCTAGTTATCTGCCATTTTTCCGATTAAAAATATTATTCCGAATATTTTACCTATATTTAATTCCAATCGTCTACGATCCATATCTCCTCAATTTGACGACTCTCTGACGAATTCGTCGAATATTATTAACAAAATGTAACGCGTTCCTTTTCTTCCCGTTTCTTTTTTCATCCCAACAATGGAATGGAAAGCAAAAAAAAAAAAAAAAGAAAGAAAAAGAAAATCCTTTTCCCTCGCGTTCGACAAGCTTTCCGACTTAAGAAATCTACGTGACTCGATTATACACGACAGAGTTAACATTTGGCGCGGCGGAGGACGCCTCGAAACGAAAAGAATGGAATACTTTCGACGAAATAGCCGGTCCGTATTAAACATTCATACCGAGAGAGAGAAGATTTGCGGGAAAATTGGCCGAGGAAAGATTTCGGAATTATTCGAGTAAGACTTTTGCAAATTTTTTTCCCAAATATCCGCTATATTTATAGAGTATATACCTATGCTACGTTCGAGTTTGTCACATACCGCGTCTGATCGCGATTCCGCGGAACGACTCTTCGAAACGAACGCGATAGAAAGTAGCAGCAGCAATAGTAGTAGTAACAGTAGTGGTAGTAGAAAAGGCAGCTGCTGCTTCGATCGGTTTTCGAAGAGTCGTTATTGCGTTGATTCGATCAATCGAGATCTCTTAATCGGGATCTATGTGTACGAGTTTGTCGTTCGATCGTCGTGGAGAAACGAATTAAGCCTGGCCGCTTCTATTTGTCGCGTAAACGTGGGACGTCTGAGCCGAGTAGTCGTCGTGGTCTGGCAGCCACGATCGATTCGAGCCGAAAGCGTCATTCTCCTCCTCGCGCCACGCTCGAAACATCTGGAACGTTATTTTCAAACGAGAGACGCTTCGTCTATCCATGCTTTCTATCCATCCATCTACCCAACCGGTAGTACATCGATCAGTTTTATACCGCGTAATAATCGACGTCCGTCTATACCTTCTTCCGCTCCCGTTCCAACTCGGTCTCATTCAAATTTTCGCATCGCCGTTCGCGATATTTCTGCTCCACTCGAAAACTCGATCGATCGTGTGTATATATATATGGTATATGCACATTAGATTTTGTTCGTTTGTTATATTTACACTCGTATTTTAGATACGAGAATGGATCATTTTCTCTCGTATGCAGCTACGTTCATGATTGTTCGCCTATTGGTAAGCGAGAATGAGCAAGAATGAAAGGGAGACGAAAAGGAGGGCGTTGTTGTGATGTGTTTGATGGGAATGCGGTGCATCGTGATTTATGGAGAAAAAGACAGGGCCGAGCGGTCGACGACCCGATTTTAATTTAACGCATCGCGACGCGTCTAGATTAAAGTAAGCGACGCGCGATCTTTCGACTCGAAGGTTTCGCGATAGATAGATGAATGCCAACATCCCACAAGCCAGAAACGCTTGTTTTCATCTCTTGTTCGTCTGTCCTAACCCGTCGAGGATGGGACGAATTGTATCGCGATTTTCAATTATATTTTCTCGCGGAGAAGCTTTAGGAAGAGAGAGAGAGAGAGAGAGAGAGAGAGAGAGAGAGAGAGAGAGAGAGAGAGAGAGAGAGAGAGA